AGGGGATCTGTGGGGGTTTATATGGGATCTATAGGGGATCTATGGGGCGCTGGCACAGCCACCGGGGCGTCTACGAGCGCTGCATCTGGCCCTGGCTCACCTGACGGGATCTATGGGGGATCTATAGGGGATCTGGGGTGTTTATAGGGGATCTGTGGGGCTGGGAGGGGTTTATAGGGGATCTGTGGGGATCTATGGGGGTTCATATGGGATCTATGGGGCTGGGAGGCATTTATAGGGGGTTTATATGGGATCTGTGGGGATCTATAGGGGATCTATAGGGATCTATAGGGGATCTGTGGGGCTGGGAGGGGTTTATAGGGGGTCTATGGGGGTTTATAGGGATCTATAGGGGATCTGTGGGGATCTATAGGGGTTTATAGGGGATCTGTGGGGCTGGGAGGGGTTTAGAGGGGATCTATGGGGTCCTACAGAGGATTTTGGGGTCCCTGGGGGGAATTTGGGGTCCCTGGGGGGAATTTGGGGTCCCCACGGGGCCCCTCCCGTTTCGGGGGGCTCCCCGAGGGGGTGGGGGAGGGGAACGCGCGACCCCCGCCCATCCCCCACAGACTCAGGGATTTGGGGACCCCTCCCCCCACCCCCCCCAGCCCCTCCCCCACCGCCTGAAAGGGGAGGGGGCGTTTTTGGGGGAGGGGGGGAGGGGTCCCCCCACCGTTAATAAAGCACTTCCCCTCCCCCCCCCAAACGGGTCTGGGGTCCCGAGTGGATTTTTGGGGGTCCCGGGTGGATTTGGGGGATTTTTGGGGGGTCCCAAATGGATTTTGGGGGGTCCCGGGTGGATTTGGGGGATTTTTGGGGGATTTTTAGGGGGTCCCGAGGGAGTTTTTGGGATTTTTGGGGGGTCCCGAGGGGATTTTGGGGGCCAAGCCCCACCCCCCCCTTCGCTGTAGCCCCGCCCACTCCCAAGCCCCGCCCACTCATCGAGACCACGCCCCTTTCCCGATCCGGTCTTTTTATTGGTTCACATCCAACGTCAATCAAAAGGGGGCGGGGCCAGAGGACAAAATTGGGGCAATTTTCGCCGTTTTGGGGGAATTTTCTCCATTTTGGATGAATTTTGACCATTTTGGGGGAATTTCGGCCGTTTCTGGTGAATTTGGGGTGGAACTGAGGCCGTTTTGGGTGGAATTGGGGGAATTTGGGATGAATTTTCTCCATTTTGAGTAAATTTGGGGCCATTTGGGGTCAATTTTTCCCATTTTCGATGAATTTGGGGCCATTTCTGATGAATTTGGGGCAATTTTGGGTCACTTTTCCCCATTTTGGATGGTTTTTGGGGTTATCCGGGTGTTCTTTTGGGGTTATCCAGGTGATTTTTTTGGGCCGATTCCGGCTGTTTTTGGGGCGATTCCGGCTGTTTTTGGGCCGATTCCGGCTGTTTTTGGGGCGATTCCGGCTGTTTTTGGGGCAATTCCAGCTGTTTTTGGGCCGATTCCGGCTGTTTTTGGGGCGATTCCGGCTGTTTTTGGGGTTATCCGGCTGTTTTTGGGCCGATTCCGGCTGTTTTTGGGGTGATTCTGGCTGTTTTTGGGGCAATTCCAGCTGTTTTTGGGGCGATTCCGGCTGTTTTTGGGCCGATTCCGGCTGTTTTTGGGCCGATTCCGGCTGTTTTTGGGGCGATTCCGGCTGTTTTTGGGGCGATTCCGGCTGTTTCAGGGCGGGGGCAGGGCCAGCAGCGGGGGGAGCAGCTCCTGGGGGTCCCCGCGCCCCCCGCCCGCCTCGGCCGAGTGTTTGCATTTCTCGGAGCCGCACTGGCACGGGAAGTATTTGCTCTTGATGTCCCAGAAGCGATCCCCGTAATCGAACCTGGAAACCGGCAGCGGGAGATCCCGAATCACAAATCCTAAATCCCAAATCCCGAATCCTGAATCCCAAATCCCAAATCCCGAATCACAAATCCTGAATCCCGAATCCCAAATCCCGAATCACAAATCCTGAATCCCGAATCCCGAATCCCGAATCCCAAATCCCAAATCCCAAATCCCAAATCTCAAATCCCGAATCCCAAATCCCGAATCGCAAATCCCAAATCCCGAATCCCAAATCCCAAATCCCAAATTCCAAATCCCAAATCCCAAATCCCAAATCCCAAATCCCGAATCCCAAATCCCGAATCCCAAATCCCAAATCCCGAATCCTGAATCCCAAATCCCAAATCCCAAATCCCAAATCCCGAATCCCAAATCCCAAATCCCAAATCCCAAATCCCAAATCCCAAATCCCGAATCCCAAATCCTGAATCCTGAATCCCAAATCCCAAATCACAAATCCCAAATCACAAATCCCAAATCCTGAATCCCAAAATCCCAAATCCCAAATCACAAATCCCAGTTTGGGTCTGGGGTCATCCCAAATCCCAAATCCCAAATCCTGAATCCCGAATCCCCAATTTCACCCCCAAATCCCAAATCCCAAATCCCGAATCCCAAATCCCAAATCCCAAATCCCAAATCCTGAATCCCAAATCCCGAATCCCAAATCCCAAATCACAAATCCCCAATTTGGGTCTGGGGTCATCCCAAATCCCAAACCCCGAATCCTGAATCCCGAATCCCCAATTTCACCCCCAAATCCCAAATAAATCCCCAATAAATTCCAATAAATCCTAATAAATACCAATATATCCTAATAAATCCCAATAAAATCCAAATAAACCCCAATAAATCTCAATAAATTCTAAGAAATCCCAATAAATCCCAATAAAACCCCAATAAATCCCAATAAATCCCAATAAATCCATATAAAACCCCAACAAATCCCCAATAAATCCCAATAGAACCCCAATAAATCCATATAAAACCCCAATAAACCCCAATAAAACCCCAATAAACCCCAATAAATCCCAATAAATCCCAATAAATCCCAATAAAACCCTAATAAATCCATATAAAACCCCAATAAACCCCAATAAATCCCAATAAATCCCAATAAAACCCCAATAAATCCCAATAAAACCCCAATAAATCCCAATAAAACCCCAATAACTCCCAATAAACCCCCAATAAATCCATATAAAACCCCAATAAACCCCAATAAAACCCCAATAAACCCCAATAAACCCCAATAAAACCCCAATAAATCCATATAAAACCCCAATAAATCCATATAAAACCCCAATAAAACCCCAATAAAACCCCAATAAACCCCAATAAATCCTGACCCCAGCTCCTCGCCGGGCCGGATGTGGCGGCTGCTGAAGAAGGCGATGCGGGGGAAGCGCAGGTCCTGGTGTAGCATGAACACCCGCACCGGGATGATGTTGGGGTCGCACAGGTGGTTGATGAAGCGGCTGACGTTGCCGTAGTAACGGGCGTCGATGCAGTACACCTCGCCGTCCTGGCGGGGGGGGGGGGTTGGGGCAAGATTTGGGGGGTTTTTGTCGTTTTTTGGGGGGTTTTTGGGATCCCCAAAAAATCGCTGGAGCCTCCCCGAGCACCTGGGAGCCCCCAGAATCCTCGGGACCCCTCCCCAAATTCCCGGGACCCCCCCAAAGGGGCTCCAGCTCCATTGGGTCAATGGGGTAGACCTGGTGGCCCAAATTTTGGGGGATTTTCGGGAAGATTTGGGGCTTTTTGGACATTTTTGGGGATTTTTGGGATTCCCAAAAAGTCTCTGGAGTCCCCCTGAATATCTGGGACCCCCCAAAATCCCCGGGACCCCTCCCCAAATTCCTGGGACCCCCCCAAATGGAACTGGAACCCCATTGGCTCAATGGGGTAGACCCGGTGGCCCAAATTTTTGGGGGGGTTTTGGGAAAATCTGGGGGGTTTTTTGTCATTTTTGGGGATTTTTGGGATCCCCAAAAAATCTCTGGAGCCCTCTCGAGCACCTGGGACCCCCCGAAATCCCCGGGACCCCTCCCCAAATTCCTGGGACCCCCCCAAAGGGGCTCCAGCCCCATTCGGGGTAGACCTGGTGGCCCAAATTTTTGGGGTTTAATCCTAAAAATTTGGGTTTTTTTTTTTTTTTCCTGGGATTCCCAAAATCCCCCAGACCCCCCCAGA